TTTCACGACCCGTTTTACGTGAAGTGGCGTAAAACTCGGTGAAAAACGCCATATCGTGAAATATGTTTTTCACTAGTGTTTTTCATATCACTAGGGTGAAATTCCATTGAATTTGGGAGAAAAATTTCCCAAAAATTAAATCAGTTTTTCATGCTGAAAAAAGTTGAAATTTCTCGACTGAAAAAAAATTAGTGGAAAAATTTCTCATTTAAGATGTATTTTCGTAAAAATGAGTTTTTTTTTCACGGAAATTTCAAATTCGTATACCGGGAAAATGATAGCAAATTTCAAGTCGTTTTAATCGAAAATTTTTTCACAATTAAAATTCCGTGTTGGAGGAATATATCTTCGCTTCCCTCATCAGCTGAGCTCCGGAGTTTACATACGAATTCGAATAAAAGTGTACAAATATCAATAAAAATTCTCCCAAAAATTTTCCGTATTGTCATCACCAACACATGTAGTTTTCCATGTGCATATTTTCCCAGGAATAAAATCAGAAAATTTCTCGACCAGATTTTTCACGAAAATCATTTGTGATTTTTTTTTCAGATTGGTACATAGTAGTATAATAAAACTTGTAGACATCATAGTCCCCGACGATTTACTCAAATTTAATGATATCTATTTGGTAATAATAAAGGGGAGAAATTACGGGATTAAAATAATAAGAGTTTTAATAATTTTGATCATTTCAATGGAGTTTCACCCTAGTGATATAGAAACACTAGTGAAAAATATATTTCACGACTATGGCGTTTTCACCGAGTTTTACGCAACTTCGCGTAAAACGGGTAAAAATCCAATAATTTTAAGAAGTTCAGAAATTTTAATATAACCTCTTGAAAAATCTCGGCAAGATAGAAAAGAAACATTTTTTCAATTTCTCCCTAGTTTTTCTGCGTATGATTGTTTTTCCTTTTTCTTTATTTTTTATTTTTTTTATTTTTTTTATTTTTTTCAGGTTCTCGAGATGGCTGACAGCGATTTAAAAAAATTATTTCGACAAGCAATTTTTCTCACAGATATGCACGTACGGACGCTTTTGTATAATCTTCTGGTGGGAGTTAAATTTCTGCATTCTGCCGGAGTTTATCACCGAGATTTGGTAATATAATAAATGGGGTCGTAGAGGGTTTACTGGTGATGTGAAAAAAATTTATATTTCATTTGGTGAAAAACGCGTAAAACACGTGATTCACTTCATATCGCGTTTTTCACATGGAGTTTTACGCCACTTCACGTAAAACGGGTTGTGAAACTCAAGTGCTCATGTGATTTAGTTTCATAAAAATTTCGAACTTTTTCCCGGAAAACTTGTTTGATTTTACGCAAAAAATTTGGGTTTTTTTGAAACATTCCTTCCTGATGTTATCAACTGAATAATTGGAGAAAATATTTCATTTTTTTTAGAAACCTGCAAACTGTCTGGTCCACCAAGATTGCTCAATTAAAATATGCGATTTTGGTTTATCCCGGGCTGTTGGTATGGAAAAAGAAATTGAAAAAAGTATTTTCACTGAAAAATTGGCAAAAAAAGAAAATTCACTTGTTGGTGATGATGATAATGAGGTAGTAGGGGGAAAAATTATGTAAAATTTTTTCAGATTTTTCTGATTGAAAATTTATTGGTGATTGTGGTATCATAACTGTACGAGAAAATACGCATGTGATCAACTACATGTGTTGGTGATGACAATATGGGAAAATCTTTGGGAAAATTGTTATTGATATTTGTACACTTTCATTCGAATTCGAATGTAAACTCTTGAGCTCAGCTGATGAGGAAAGCGAAGATATATTCCTGCCGAAAATTCCATTCATTTCGCGTAAAACGCGTATTTCACATATTATGTGTATTTTTTACGTTTACATATTGATTTGGCGAGGTTTACATGTGATGTGAAAAACACCAATGAAAAACACTTGGTGAAAAACGCGTAAAACATGTGATGTGGAATGGTGTGATTTCCCTGGCGTAATTCGCGCAGTATTTTCACTTTATATCGCGTTTTTCACATTGAGTATTACGCCACTTCGCGTAAAACTCCAAATAAGGACTGTTGTTATTTCAGAGTTGGAATATACGTTCGCTTTCCTCAGGAATTTATGTATTATGTATTCATCAGAATTTACATGAAAATTCGGGTAAAAGTGTACAGAAATTAGTAAAAATTTTCGCAAAATTTTCCATTTGTGAATGACCATGTGCATATTTTCTCACATTTAGTGAACTTTTTTCAGGGTAGTAAATCGCGAAAACATCGCGGGTTGAGGAGACAGCTGACGGGGCATATAGTGACGAGGTAAAAAGGAGGAAATTTTCGGGAATTTTCTGTTTTTTTCGGTAAAAATTAATTTGGTATAATACATGGGTGGCAGATCTGAGGAAAAATTACGGAAATTTTTACTTTTTATTAAATTTAGTGAAATGTAAAATTATGGGGAAAATTACATATGTTATATCTAGAGCTTTAGAAATTTTTGATATGGAGTTCTTTGATGTTGGTGAATATTCATAGTAAGAGTTGAAAATTTAAGAAAAAAGTATTATTTTTTATTTTTTTTCGTAAAAGCTTTTTCCTCAAGTTTATGATTCTGTCATTATGTCCGTTCATATCGTGATAATTTTTCGCAAAATTTTTATGTTGAAATTATACGGAGTTTCAGTTGGCAGTATAATTGGAATAATGTAAAAAGTGAGATCTAGTTTCAGAAATTGGATTTTTTTAGTGGTAAGAACGCATAGAAATTTGTCGGTAAAATTAAATTTGCGATCTTTTTCTCTCCTTCTTTTTGATCTAGGTGGTATAGATCACCAGAAGTTATATTTGTCCAGGACGCGTATGATGAAGGTGTAGACGTGTGGAGCGTTGGATGCATATTTGCTGAGTTATTGGGTATGCACAGGGCAAGGTCTTTTACACGTGATATGAAATTTTCATAATTTGAATAATATGAATAATATGAAACCCGAATGTTTTTCATAATGAAAAACACTGGTGAAAAACGCGTAAAACACTGGTGACTGTCATTAGTATTATGTCCCAGCTCAGCTAGTGAGAGTCTTGATGTAAACGATGGAGTTGCTATTTTTGATGATGGAGTTTCATCCGTTGTACGTGAAGTGGCGTCGTAATAGTCGGTGAAAAGCCGATATTCGCGGTGATATGCAGTAGTCGTGAAATATGTTTTTCACTAGTGTTTCATTTTTCATATCACCGTTCGTGAAACTCGATTAATAAATATATATTTCATCACTGTTATTCCGTGAAGTAGCAGATGTAGGTATTCATTTCAGGAATGTTAAAAGAAGTCGTGTCGTTTCCATCGGATAGAGGTCCCCTTTTCCCAGGCAGCACATGCTTTCCTTTATCACCGGATCGCAAACATGTTAGCGATTATAAGGTGCCGGGATCGAACCGGGGACCAGCGGGTTGAGAGTCGAGTGCTCCCCCTGCTGATCAGTTTCATGCTCGTGGCAATAAGGATCAACTGAATATGATATTTAATGTCATTGGTACGCCTAGTGATGAGGATGTTGCATCATTCGAAGAAAAGGATATTCGAGAGTGAGGATCCTCGTTGGGGAATTTCGTGGCGCGTGACAGATTCTGGCATCCAGGTATCTACGTTGTTTCACGAAACGGTCTGGTATGGGAATACCGGAAGTTTTCAAAGCCGCAGCTAGTAAGCGATTATATATCATCTTCGAGTCACTGAGGATGTTTTATATATAACTAGTGCAGCAGTGTAGGAGGAAAATATGTACATGGGTTGGTGATGACAATGTGAACATCGGAGAGGAAATAGCGAAGCGAGCGGAGCATATACCGCAACAACAACCACTTGCGCATTGTGCGTGCGTGCAGAATTATTGTGGCCTTACAACGAATCATAGGAGGCCACCAGATGGATCAAATGACAACTTTATATGCCGAGGTTTACGCAAAATCGAAAAATTTGATAACAGCACGACAACTTTTTTGACGGAGCATCCGTGGATCGAACCGGAGACATATGTCGAGTTTATTTTGTGGCGCGTGACAGCTCCTTCTTCAATTTTGTGGCGCGTGACGGTTGATACTGTCGCATTTCTAGGTGATGCGTCGAACCTTTTAGAAAGGATGTTGGTATTTAACCATAAGAGGAGGATAACAGTAGAAGAGTGTCTTCGACATAAGTATCTCGCGGGTGTCCGGGGAGTGGAAATTGTAGCAAAAGATCAGGTGGGAGGAACCGTACCGGGGACCTTCGGATTGACGCCCATGACTTCAACCACTACGCTATTCTGACAGGTATTCTTGCCCTTTGAGCTGGAGCCTTCTTTGGATGAAAAGGACTTGAGGCAGCACTTCATTTCAGAAATACAGAAATTCCATCCTGAGGTGATATCCCTTGAGACATTCCAGAATTTCCCCTCCCCCACTTCTGAACGATCTACATCTCAACTGTGCGTACTTAGTACGAATTTCCAATGCCACATTTTTATTTCGATTTATTCATGTTTGCTCAAGGTAGGCGGTGGTCTCCCACTGAATGAGAACTTAGTATGGGATGCAGTGTGGAAAAATATGCATATGGTCAACTACCTGTGACAATATGAGAATTTTGGGAGAAAATTTTGAGTAATTCTCGTTAGTACACTTTTACCCGGACTCGTGTGTGAAACTTCTATACAAGAGGTTGCGTCTGAGTTTTGTTAAGAATGACTTCCGTGGGATTCGAACTTGCGCTCCCCAGTCCGGGTGGCGAAGTTCGGGAGCACCATCCTTTTCTGTGACGGCTCGGTTGACTATCGAATGGTATTTCAGGTAGAGATACCTGTGGAACTTGCAGCGAAGTAGACCATCGATGATTTATCAAAAAAGCATGTCATTACTGATGATAGTTGTTCGAGAAAAGTACGGTTTTGCGTTTGAGTTGCGCACGAGGAAGTGAAAGATCACCCTACAGGGTAATAATTTAATGAGAGTCCACTCTCTGTAACTTTTCATTGCGACCAAGTTAGAATCCGTGAGATCCTTCGATGATATCCCAAATCTTATATATCCCAATCATATAAGCAAATATACGACAACCTCGGTAACTCGGAGAGGTAGACGGGAGCGGGAAAAGGACCGCCGAGGGGCGAACAACAGCTTGAGAGACCACAAAACTCAAACGCTAACAACTGAGGACGGAATCCTCTGCCGTTTCACCGGCAACCGTGTCCTCACAACTCGCGCGAATCTTCCATGTGAGCGGATATACTGAATAGATATGCAGTAAGATGAATATATTTTAATATATAGAGTGGGAAATATTCAATTATCTTAGACTAAGATTCTTAGTCGCCAATGGCGACCAAGGCCCAAC